GACTTCATTGATCCCCTCCCTGCATTCGCAGTAAGACGGGACGATTATTTAATGTTGGCACTTAACCATCCCACCAACCTCCCCTTCACAATAGATGATGTGATCCCTTACAGAGTGGGGGGGAAAGAATTTAATATTCACACAGCACACAAACTGCATTCGTGGTGTTTCCGCTGTAAAACCTATAGACACCTTAGTACAGACCAGGCCTGTGTACAGAACCCGACACGCAGACAAAGGGTGACCGGGAGACTGATCAGAGACCCTTTCAAAGGTAATATGTGGAGGACTGTGGATCAGGGTCATGAGGGATGGGTGTACATTGAAGGGTCAGGAAAAGGCTCAAAGCCCCCAGATAGCTGGACACCACCGGAACCAACGGACAAAGTTATGAATAAGTTCAGCCCCTCCCCATCCCCCCCCCTCCAAACCAAACCTTGCACGATACAAGAGAGAAGGATGTTGTTCCAGGTTCAAGCCAAAAGAAGATAGCAACACAAGGGTCACGAAAGCCAAATCCGTTGGATTACCTGAATGAGGTAGGTAATTCCACAAATATAACTGTCTTGTCACCACAACTAACTGCATCCTCAAAAGATGGTCAGGACCGGATTCAAGACACAGTAATGGAGCAAGAAATAGGTAGTGAACTGGAACACTCACAGGATCTACCTCTAATCAGAAAAAGGACAAAGCAGAAAAAAAATAGCAAAAAAAAAAATAATTAAAATAAGAGGAAGTTCTTATCAACAACAAACATGGAAGCCAAAGGAAGGGTCAACACTAGTCAATAAAAATGATCAGGGGGTAACCTGGTAGAAGAGGTTTCCCAAACTCCAGGATCAAGTGAAGAGGAACAACCCCAAATACGAGAAGAGGATCTTCAGCAATATTTTTTTTGAGAAGCATTTGGGTCTGCTCCAATGGACATTGATTCGGAGCAAACAAAAGTGGACTCCCCAATGGTTGAAGCTTCCCCTTCAGGAAAGGAAGAATGCATAACTGTGGAACAAAAAATGATTCAACTCGCAGAATGGCTGCTCCAACAACTTAAATTAAAATATGGAGCAGCCTCAACAGATTTTTGGGATACTTCCTATGTTCAACTCATTAACTTGATGGAAGCTAGCCCTTCCTTGAAAAAGGTACTCGCTGATGGACTCCCGACAGGTGCAAAATGGACGGTGGCTAGTCAGCGTATGCTCAGCGCAGTATTGTCTATTTTTCAACCACCGTCCCCCCCACCTGATAAGGGTAAGGAGGAAGGAGAAGTGAATTCCGCATTGGTAGCAGCAAATGAAGGGGTCATATTTTCTATCCCTATACAATCTCAAGAAGGGGAATCTCATCAATCTCCTTCAATAGTGAACAACGACGAGGAGATACAAGGTCATTCAATCCATGTGATTAATAATGGTCATGATTCTTTACAGCCCCTCCCCCCAGTTAACAGTGGGATGGAAGCACTGGGACAAGTAGTTTACGTGGATGAAAATGACCAATCATTTCTCATGCAAGAGCAAAAAGAGGATCAGGTCACCACCCCTCACACACGAAAATCTGAGTCAGAACTTCAACAGGAAACGGAGACACAACAAGAGATAATTGGGCCCCTCGTCCAATCTCCACTATCACAGACACAATTGATCTCACCCCTGTCAGAACAGCAAGGGTCAGTTCATAGGCAAAAGGACACCACTCCCTCTCCACAAGTGACACAGGATTCAGGTAAAAGGCAAAAAATGAGGCATGTGCTGGAAAAAGGTCATGCGACTAGGCCTCATCCACCTAAAGGTAATCTGATTGTCCCGATCAGAAAAAAAAAAGGGCAGATGGGAGGTGGGTCTCTCACCAATTGGCCAAGACCAATATGGGGGAGTCACATTGAGGGGATGGTCAACATATGTTGAGTATCAAAATGTTGGGGATCGTACATTCAAACGAGATATGCATGATTTTTTGGTAAAGCACTATGATCCTGGTCCTCAAGCAACTCTCACAGAAATAGGGGATAAGGCCCATATGACCAAAAGGGACACGTTCGTTCGTTTCGAAGAACAGAAAGAGGCAGGTTTGAGATGGTTTTCTCACTCAGCATTGTTAGAACTACAAAGCTTTAAAGTTAAAGCAAATGTTGTATGATCTGCTTCGGATATAATTGCCTTCCTCAACATTATTTTGCGAAGAGGAATATAACAATCCTCAGTAGAGTTGGATAATGGTAATTGGAGTCGCCTCTGAAGTAAAATGAGACAAAGATTTGAGTATCAAAATTTTGGTTAAAGTTTTGGTTAAAATGGACGCCTTACAAGCATATTATGGTAATAATCCAGCTTGGTACCGTGCAACCAAAACTGCAGATATGGATCTCCGCTCTCTTAATGTTAATGGTTTAGCCACGACAGATGCGGAAAAAAGAAAGGTCATAATAAAACAATTGAAAGGGGTAGGGGGAAGAGCATGGCCTGACATCATATGCATACAGGAAACACATCTTACCAATACTCCTGCTCACACTAGGGCCCATAACATAGTATGATCATTCAATAAGATTAATGCTCCGACTCCAAGAAGTGGCTCAGCTGGAGAAGCTATCTGGGTCCCTTCGGATTCCAGGGCAGAGATAACTCATTGGGTGGCTGACAAAGAACAAGGCCGATGGATTTCGGCAATCCTAATGATTGAGTCAGAAGTTATATGTGTAATTAATGTATATGGTCCTAATGATATAGAAGAAAGAGTCAAATTCTTTCAAGATATTAGGAAACAAATTCCGGATGGGATGCCCATAGTAATGGCAGATGATTTTAACGCTGCCCCGGATAGATGGCCGTATCGCTGGAAGATTCCCTCCCCATGTCCTCCTTATAAAGAGGAAGACGAAAAAATAATACAAGCATTGTGCGAAAATTAACATCTTTTCGACTCTTATCGAAGGATTTTTCCTCCTGAAAGGTTTTTCACATGTATACGTAATCATGGGAATCGTCTGCATTCTAGATCTAGAATAGACTTAATTCTGATGTCTGAAGATCTAGATAAAGCTCTTGTTTGGGCAGCTATTTTTCCGCAAAGTCCATGGTCTGGTGCGGATCACAAAATGTGTGCAATACTCTTATCCTTCAAGAAGAAACCAGATCAAGGAAAGGGGTTTTACAAACTTAATACATCCCTGTTATCTCATAATCAGTTCAAAAAATATTTATCGGACGTGTGGCAATATTGACAATCAACAAAAGAGAAACAAGATTCCTATATTTCTTGTTTTAACAATGGTCTGATGTTTATTGCAAAAAAGTGTAATGAGTATTCAAAACTACAAGCAAGAAATAGATATCTACAATAAATAAATGTTCAAGAACAAATTCTAAATTATGAATCTCAGGACCAACTTGGTGAATCCTCCCAAACTATCAGAATTCAAGAGCTTAGGAACCAACTTTTAACCTTCGCACAACATCGTTGGCAAGGCCAATTAATCAGAGGTAAGCTATCAAGATTTGCTTTTGAAGGGCAAATGGATACATCATTTTTTGCTATGGCCCGGTCACGAGCCAAACGCGCATCCATAGAAAATCTTTTTGATCCTGAGACTTCTCAAGATCCCCTGATGGCTGCATCCTCTACAGCTAGTCTAAAAGTTGCCTATGACTTTTTAAAAAAACTATTTCTCTCATCCAAAGATCCCACCTGTATTCAAGAGGATGATCAAGCCATTCGTCTCTTTCTGGAACCACTCTTCCAATCCATTAACCAAGAACAACGTGATGCGCTACAATAAATCGAATGAATCTGGCGCTATATCGTGGGAATATACACTGCCACACTTG